TGCAATTCAGTCTAGCCTTGAGCTCACTTTGTAGCCCAGGCTGGCCTTGAACTTGCAGCCATCCTCCTGCCTCAGCCTCCTGCGTGCTGAAAGTACAGGTGTGCACCACCATGCCTGGCTTTTCTGTTCTTTAGTAGTCTACTATGTGGACTGATCATAGTTTGTTTATTTAACTGTGAGCATTGAAATGTGTTTTATTTTTGCTAATATGAACAAAGCCCCTTTGAACATTTGTGTACAGGTACAATATTCTTGCTCATATTTTCATTTCTCTTAGGAAATACCTAGGGGTGAAATTGCCAGCTCAGATGGCAGTTATGTATTTAACAATGTAAGAAAATGCTAAACTATTTCAAAAGTAGTTTTACCATTTGACATTTCTTGGTGTTCCTGCTGTTGAAAATCACTTGACCATATATATATTTCTGGACTTCTTATTCTGTTCTATTGATTTGTCTATCTTATACCATCACTATAGTTTTGATATTGAAATCAAGTAGTATGAGTACTCCAACTTTGTCTTTTTCAAAACTGTTTTCGTGATTTCTAGATCCTTTATGTTTCCATATACATTTTAGAATCAGTTTGTCAATTTCTACAAAAAAACAAGGTGGGATCTTCATTGGGATTATTTCTTACTTATAGTGTTTATAACGGGGTGAGAATTGCATTCTGAACAATATTGACTCTTCCTGTCAGTGAACTGTATATCTTTGTAGGTAGTCTTTAGTTTTTGTCATTAATATTTTATAGTTTTTATTGTGTAAATTTTGTAAATACTTTGTTAAATTTATTATTAGGTACTTTGTGTTTTTGAAAATGATTGTAAATGGATTGCTTTGAAAGTTTTTACCTGCATCTGTTGAGATAATTGGCTTTTCTCTTTTAACCTCTTTACTATGGTAAATTATACTGATTGATTTTTAAATGTTAAACCAAAGTTGTATTCTTGAGATAAACTATACCGCATCATGGTATATCATCCATTTTTTTGTATGTTGCTTATTCTGTTTATAAATATTTCGTTCAGGAATTTTATATGCTCAATCCGATAAAGAGCTTCAATGAACATATCTAAGCTTGGTATGTTGAAGCTTGTGATTGGGAACAAGGCAAGGGTGCTCACTCAGACCCTTTCTTTTCAGCACTTTACTGGATATACTGGCCAGTGCAATAAGCACAAAACAAAATAAAACCAAACTAGCAAATTTAGCAAGATCATGAGATAACAACAGGTTACTACCTAAAATTAATTGTGTTCTTATATAGTACCAAAGAACAGTTAAATTGAAATTTAAATATTATTTATTTTCATTTCATTAATTTTTTCTGTCGTTTTATTGATTCCTATACCTGGTTTTTAAAAAATAGCTTTATTGAGATATAATTCACATAGACAATTTACCCATTTAAAGTGTATAATCCAGTAATTCTTAGTATGATCACAGAGTTGTATAACCATCAACATAATTCATATTAACATACTGGCATCACATAAAAGACAAACTCCATCACTATTACTAGTCATTTATTTATTTTTTGTTTTAAAGAAAAAAAATTTCAAAACAAGATAATAGGATAACAATGATTAATACATCGCTTATTGTTATCTTTAAATTAATTACTCCAGGTGCAAGGTATTGGCATTTAATTGTCCAAACAATATTAACACAAACCTTTCTTTTCAATGAACTAAGAGAAATTAATAGTATATGTTTTTGCACGATCATATATGTATATATGTATTTATTTTTTTGCTTTTCCCTTCCTTCTTTATTCCATTCCCCCATCCCAGTTTCTCTTTCTTTTTGAAATTTCTTCCCATTTTACAATACCTGTTGTACATTGTGGATCTTATTTACTCTTTCAGCTTCTGTTGTTTATTCTTCTCCCCTTACCTCAATAATCTTCCATCACACTGGCCCTAGTATTTATTTACTCACTTTATGTCTCTGCATAGTTGTCTACTTTGGAACACTCTAAAAAGTATTCTTCCAATCCAACCATAATTGTGTGTTGTTTGACTAACATCTACCCACCACTCCACACCCTGCATCTCCCTAACTATACAGAGTTCTGACAACCACCATTGCACTTCAGTTGTGAGCTCAATTCTTCCACATTATGCATATAACTGAAATCATGCAGTATTTCTCTGTTCTGGCCTATTTCTTTTTACATAATGCTCCAGTTTTATCCATATTGTTACAAATGACAGAATTTTATTCCTAGTACTCCTTTGTGTGTATTTATCATATTTTCTTTATCCATTTACCAGTTGATGGACATTTAAGTTAATTGCACATCTTGGATATTGCTAATAGTACTCTAATAAACATGGGAGTGCAGGTATATCTTCAATATAATGATTTCATATCCTGTGGATATATACCTAGTAATGAGATTGCTTGGTCACATGGTAGCTCTATTTTTAGCATTTTAAAGATTCTTCATATTTACAATAGTGCTACAAGGCCTCCCTTTTCTTCACATCCAGAACAGACATCTTCTGACTGGTGTTAGGTGATATCTGGTGATTCTGATATGTATTTCCTTCTTGATTAGTGATGTTGAACATTTTTTAATATACCTGTTAGTCATTTGTATGTAGGTTAAGAAGTGTCAGGGGTTGGAAATGTAGATCATTGGTACAATGTTTACTTAGCATGCATAATGCCCTAGATTTGATCCCTATTACTCCAAAAAGAAAAAGAAAGAAAAAAAAAAGAAATGTCTGCTCAGCCCCTTGGTCCCATTTTTAACATATTATAAAAATGATCCCTGAAAGTATAGCCTTGGTCCCATTTTTAAGTGGGAATGTTTTCTTGCAATTAGAGTGGTTTGATTTCCTTATAAATGTAGATACTAACTATCTACCATATGTATAGTTTGCAAATACTTCCTAACCCTCTGTATGTTGCCTGTTCACTTTGTTGATTGTTTTCTGTTTTAGTTTATGGAATCTCATGTCTATTTTTGTTTTTGTTTCTTAGTCTTTCAAGGTTGTACTCAAAAGAATTATTACCCAGATCAATGTTATGAAGCAGTTCCTCTGTGTTTTTCTCTACTCATTTCATAAATTCAGGTCAAAATATTTAAGTTTTTTACTGAATGGTTTTGAATTAATTTTTGTATTTGGTGTGAAATAGGGTTTAATTGCACTTTTCTGTGTGTGGATATCCAGTTTCTTCAACACCATCAAGTGAAGAAATTGCCCTCTTCCTATTTATTTTTGGCACCTGGACTAGTCAGCTCTTCTGTTGCTGGATCAAAATACCTGATAACTACAATTTAAAGAAGGAGGAGTATGTCTGGCTCATGTTTTCAGAAGTTTCAGTCCATGGTTAATTGGAAACATCATGTAGCACTGCATGTTGTAGCAAAGCTACTCGCTTCATAATTCTTGGAAAGCAGAGAACAGGGGAAGAGCATGAGAGGAAGGGGCCAGGGCGCAGAGACAGTCTCCATGTTCACACCCTCATGACCCACCAGACACACCCAGGACTGTGCTTAGATAATGTCCCAGTGTTGCTCTACGTTCCATTTCTGTCCAGGGTTTCAGGTCCCAAGAATGAGGTGCCTCTGATGAAAAGAAGAGCAAGAGAAACAAGAAAAACAAGAAAGGCATAATTCTGGGATCAAGGGGCTTACAGCCTCTAGGGCTGAAGCCGTGATTACCATTTTCAGTAACGTTTTATTGAGAAAGAACAAAGGAAGCAGCTGGGCAAATGGGAGGGTATCAACAGGTTTAGCAAGGATAGCAGTGATGTAGCTTTCTAAATCCTAAGTAGAAGCAGAGTTTCATGAAGCATGAATGTCTATGTGTCTGTTTTCTGAGTCTAAATATAAAATTATTTCTTAATGTAGATCAAGGCTAAAAAGTTTAAAATACTAACTCTCTAGAGACAGAATAAGAAATGGTTTCTGTGGTCCAGAATAAATTCCTTGGGTATATGTTGGCTTCTTTAATAGCTGTTCCCTTAGACTTCCTTGGTTCTTCTTTTGGCTTATTGCTCTGACTCTCAATTTAATATGCTGGGTTTGTAAAAGCCTTTGCCATGTCTAGAAATGGATAGGTAGAAAAAGTAGTATGATTTCTTGAAATATGTCCAGAACAATTTACGTTCTAAGAAATTATGTTAGTAGTTATTCTCCATGATCCTTGGTGGTCCACAGGAATTAGTTCCTTTAAGAAAGTTTCACTCCTACTCCTAGAAAGTAATTGTAAATAATTTGGCTGAATGTACTCGGTTTTTCTAATATATTTTCTGTCATGTACATTTTTCTTTAGAGTGTTAAAGGCTGGAAAGGCAAATGTTATTTTACCAAAAAGTTCACCAACTGGAGTAACTCATGTAATTGCCAGTAATGCAAGAATCAGTGCTGAAAAAGAAAAAGATACCTTTAATGCTCCATTTTACCCGATTCAGTATCTAGGGGATTTTCTTTTAGAGGTAAGTAAAGTAAACAGTAGCATTTAAAAATGTTTATTTTATGAAGAACCAATACAGTGAAATATAGTCAGTCATGCTTTGATATCACCAGGGTTTGGTTCCAGGACCCCCCCCCCTCTTTGGATACCAAAATCCACAGATGCTTAGATCTCAGGTCCCTTCTGTAAAATAGCACAGTATTTGTATATAACGTATATACATTTTACATAATCATCTCCTGACTACTTATAATATCAACAGGATAAATAGGTGTTGTGGTATTCTTTAGGGAATAATGACAAAGAGAAAAGCCAGTACATGTTCTGTACAGATGCAGCCATCATGGGCCTGCCTACATTTTCTAACTGGGATTGGTTGAATCAGTGGATTCAGAGGCTGCAGATATGGAGGGCTGACTGTTTATATTAAAATTCTGTTCTAAACTTTGAAAATATTTAACTGAAAGTCATTACAATAATACTCGGTAAAAAAGAAACATCAGTATGTCCCCAAACAACTTTGATCTAGGAAAAATCGTCTCCTTCAGTATTTCTCATTTTAATAGATGCCGTCACCTTTTGCTACTTTAATATTTAGTGTCTAAGACCTAGGAATCACCCTTGAAACATTCCCTCACTCATCTCATCTACTAGTACATTTTGCTGATCTTATCTCAAATTATTTCTTGAGTCAAACCATTTCTCTCCTGTAGTAACAGCATACTGAATTTATCATCTTTTTTGTGCGCCTAGAATAGACTTTTAAGTATTCTTCTTGTTATTCTAGCTTTTTTATTCTGACTAATTTCCTCATTACTCTTTTACTGTCCTTTTCTACCATATTCCAGTTCATTCAAAAAGGACAGCCAAAATATTTATTAAGAATTGTTCTTAATAAGACAGTTCTGATCCAGTCATTTTTCCACTTAAAACCTATCAGTGGCTTCATGTTGCCCTACCTTCCTAAATCTCTACCATGGTTTTCCAATTCTCTCATAGGATTCCTATGCTACCTTTTTATCTCTTTCCTGGTCTACATTTTTCTCTGCTTACTAAACTATAAGAAAACTACCTTTTCCCATTTTTGTTCAGCTTACCGATACATATTTTTGGAGACTATTGATGAAGGGGCAACATGGCAGTGTAGTACAGTATGCATTACAATACAGTGTGCAATGCACTGGGGATATATGAATGAATGAAACCCCATATCATACTCTGAAGTGTTTCACTAGTAATGATGAAAGAATGTATGAAATTGTTCAAATTAGTATGAGTTGTGCATTAGTGAAACTGTGCAAAATAAGAGCATATGCTATGTGTTTTATATCCTTGATATTATTTAAGGCTAGTGTTCCGATGTGGTACTATGGTCCCATTTATAGTGGTGATATTAAGGTAGACTGGGATTAAATAACTTGCCTAAGATCCCACCTATTGCTTTGTCTCTGTCTGTCTGACTGTCTTTTTGTCTGTATCTCTCTCTGTCATAAGAAGCTTTACCATTAAAACAAACTAAAAAAAGTCCAAGAAATGACCCATCCATAACCTGACAATTTTTAAATCTAGACTACAACTTTAACTTTGGTGAAGGACTAGATAAAATATTTTGTTTCTGATGATTCATAAAAAAGATTGATTGTTCCTAGACCAAAAAAGGTGGCTTTTCTTGAGACAAACGGAAATCACTTTATTATTCAGAATGTTTGCTCTAATTATTTTGTTCTTGAAAGATTTTATCAGTGGTTCAAGCCTTTGTTTTTGGAGAGTGTGTAAGTATGTAATGTTGAAATTATACTTAATTAACTGCCTGAACCATTTTTATATGTATGTAGAGAGAAATTCAGAATGACGAAGATTCTCAAATTAGTTCTATTGGAAGTAAACCAAGCAATCAAGAAAAAAACAATGATTTCAGAAAAGATACGGGAGTTTTTGAAATGAAAAGTGCCTTAAGAGAGACCATATGTAGAACCCAGGTAAAATTTCATAGTCTAAAATATGTGTCTTTTTTCCCTGTGTGTGTGTGTGTGTATGTGCATACCATTGCTTGAGAGTCTGTATGTGGTAGATATAACATGTATTTTAGAATCTGAACACTGATATTTGAATTTTGTGATTTTAGTCCATGACTTGAGCATATTAGAAAATTTTTCTATGTCAATATTTTGGAACTCTTGCTGAAATAATGCACATATGCATATAGGAAAAAGCAAATTTGTAGTTTGTTTCCATACATGGTAATTACTTAAAACTTCTCTTCTTAATGTAATGTGGTTCTTATGAAGCAGTTTTTCTTACCTATTAGCACTATTTATATTCATAATTCATCATCTGAGTTCAAGCATTTAACTGCATATAGGACCTAATTGTTAAAAACAAGTAAGTTTTGTTTAACATGCAAAACAAAACAAAAAACAAGAATGACTTCAAACATGTACTAGCTCTTGAGTACAGTTTTTCAGACTCTGCAATGAAAACATGGCATCATTAATTTTATACTAGATGAGCTAGTATTCAGTTACCTTGTTTCATATCTGTTTTATAAAAATCTATCTGGTAAATCTATCCAATTATCGTTAACTTAGTAATGATGTTAGTCATTTTCCTGTCACTCGGACCAAACACCCTATGCCACAGGCTAAAGAGGAGGGGTTTACTTTGGCTTGCAGTTGTCAGTAAACTCAGCCTGGGGTTGATTGGCTCCATGGCACAGATGGCCTGGTGAAGGAAAGCTCTTCATCCCAAGGCAGCTGGGAAGCAGAAGGAGTCCGGGACCCTGATGTTCCCTTCCTCGCCACACCCCCATTGATATTCTTCAGTAGACCCCCACCTCCTCTTAACACGCTCAGCTCTGAGCTCCTCCAGGTTAGCTTGCTGATGCGCACCCCCGATCCAATCACCTTGCGCAAGCCTCCCTCTGTATGTGTGACATTTTAGATCCAAACTACGACAGTAATTATTATTAGCATACACTCAAATACATTTTGTGTAATTAGAATGAAATTCTAAATAAATGAATAAAAAAATTCTCCTTTCATTCTACCTGCCAATTTTTTTTTTTAATTCTAGGACTAAATGGAATTTTTAAAATTGCATAGTTTTTTTATTGTATAGAGCAAAATTAGACAAACCTTTCCAAGTTTGAAATACTTGCTTTTTTTTTCCAGATGTTTCAAAGTGACTTATCAGGCTTTTTGAGTTGATGCCTTTTAAAATGTGCATTGTAAATCACAGTATAAAGTATTTTTACATAGAGAAAGGAATATAAAATGCTGTAATTACTAAACTTAGTTTAGAGGAAATATAGGAAAAAAGAATAAATATTTATAAAAAACACGGAAGTTATTAAAATATATCTGGAAAGATGTATATAAAATTTTCTTATTTCTAAAATAAATTTCCTAGCATAATGGGCAAACAAAATGGTTTGTAATATTACTTTCTCTGATTTAAGCATGCAGGTAAACTAAGTGTGTGTAAACTTACTATAAAACTTAGTGAACTGAAACATCTGTGCTCTTCTGCTTTGTCTTAGTATATAGCTAAGATGTAACTCGTAGAAACCTTTGTTTTTTATATTTAATCTCATATGTATGTCCTACAAAATCTACCTTACTTAGTTTTTCTGTTATGACTTGCAGTGGTTGTGTTGAAGCTGTAATCATTTTAACTAAAATAATTCTGTAAACACAGAAAGAAATGCAAAATCATGATGAAGATGTTTGTTCTGCTGTGAGTGAACATCACAAAAGAGAGAAATTCAGAGAAACTAGAGAAGACTTGAGATTTATTAAAATGAGAAATACCTTAAGAAGTCATATATACGGAAATCAGGTAAAACTGTACAAATGAAAAATAATTTAGTTATAGTTTTGAATTCCTCTGAATTTTCCAAATTTGATATTATTCATGGAATTTCTTCTGAAACATCTATACAAAAGTATTTATAAAACATTGTGTATAGTTTTTAAAAGAATATAAAAGTGAATACTTGCATACCCACCAGCTAGGTAAAGAAATATATTACCAACTTTGGTGTGTCATTTCCTAACTACGTCACCTTCCTTTTGCCTAGAAGTATCCTGTATTTCAAAATTTGCTTTTCATTGTAATTGTAACCATTGGGAGAATCCCAAATAACACATTGTTTAGTTTTACACATTAATGAACATTTGAGCTATAATCTTTATAGACATGCTGGTATATGTTTGTTTCACTGTTAGACTATGTCACAGAGGTATTCTTTATTTTACTATTGATAAGCATTTACGTTTCTTTCTGTTGGGTTATATGGTTGCTTGATTGGTTGATTTTTAAAATTATGAACACTTCTACTGTGAAACCATGTGAACATCATCTTGTGTGACTCTGTTTAGAAATTTCTTTAGCTTGGCATATATTTCTAGGAATAGAATTGCTGGGTCCTAGGAACTGTGCATGTCTAATGCGGTGGAGTAATGCCTCACTATTTTCCCAAATGATTTATGAATATATACTTCAACAGAGGATGAGATTTTTCTGTTGTGTAGAACTCTATTTTGTAGTGGCATAGACTTAAGATGGAAGTTACTCTTCTTGAGTTTATTTAGATTTTGTAACATATAATTCATACTGATATTTAATTGTGGTCTAAATACATATAGAAGGATACTAAGAAAAAATACGAAGATATTCAAAGAAGTTATACTTTAAGGAAAAAACGCAAAAAAGAAACTGATTGCAAGAAAGACATCGAACATGACAAAATTAAAAGTACCTTAAGAAAACAAGTGTGTTACACAGATCAGGTAAAACTTTATAAGCTGAAATATAATTTTAATTTTTCTGGCTCTATTTAATATAATTTAGATAGATAATCTCATTTTCACAATTGTTTGTTTTATTAAGTACTTGGGTTGACATAGTGTATTAGGTCCATGGTGAAAGTATTTTTACATGAATACTCTAAGAAATTTGATTTTAAAAAAAACCTGAAAATGCATATATGTGTAGTTCAGAAAATACATTCTAATGTGCATTTTGTTGTATATCTTGCTCTTCCCTAGGATGATAAAGATGATTTATAATGAGATAACTTGTCTTTTAAATGGACTCTTCTTGGATAAATTATCTAGAGTATAACTTTATTTTACATTCTAAGCCATGGCACGTTTATTCAGGTTGGACATTCCTAATCCAAAACTCCAACATCTGAAATGCTTGAAAATGTAACTATAGCAGTGATGACGAACCTTTGAGAGCTTTCAGTGATAACAAACATCCTGCCATGGCACTTGCACCATAGATTTGCCACCACTGCATATAGAGTGTGCTGTGGTGGAAAACTCCAGAGCTGACCTTATATGATAGGCTTCAATCAAAACACAGGCCATATGCATTAAAAATATTGTTTAAAATTGTGTCCAAGGATATATATGATAAGTATATAAAACATAAGTGAATTTTATTAGATTTAGATCCTATCCCAAGATATCTAATTATATCTATGTAAATATTCCAACATCTGAAAAAAATAAAAAATCTTAAGTATACTGAGTCTGTATACATATAGAGAGGTAAATAAATTTATTTTATGTGAACATGACAACAAAGAAAACCAGAGGTTTCAGGAAAGACTTAGAACAGATTAAAATGAGAAGTGCAGTGTTTAAAGAATTCACATATGTAAATATCAGATGAAACTTTCCAAAACTGAGATGTTGCTTTTTACCTTTTAATTCTTAGTTGTATAGTCTTGATAAATAATTGTGAAGATCTTTGCTGTGGTTAACATTATATGAATGTGTTCTTGTACTGTCTGATGTAACATCATTTGTGTTGACACTATCTATAGTACATTGTCTAAAGTTCTTTTGCCTGTATGCAGAAAGAAATGAACAGTTCTGTTTTCACTGATTATGCCAAAGAATCAAAACCCAAGGATATCAGGATGGATATGGATGTCGTTGAAATAAAAAATATCTTAAGGAAGCACATATATAGAGCTCAGGTAAAACTCACACCCTGAAAAGTTTGAATACTGTCCTATCTTTCTTTAGTGTAACTGAAATATAATTTTATATATGTAGACTTAGATAAATGGTTCATTAGTATGCTGAATGTGTCAAAATAATTTTCTTCAATAATCTGTTATAGTATGAGCAGTAATGTATTTGGACATTTTGTAAATGCCTTGATTTCTCTGCTACACTTCCGTGATGTCAACAGTTGTGTTCAGATACTACCATATATTTACTGTATGCTTGGTAGGCTGATAACTTTATATATTGGTCCAGTTGGTTACATTATGATTTTAAATGGTTGAGTTTGAGAAACACTGTGTTTTAGTAGATTATCCACCTCTTTCTTATTGTTAAGGTGGGAGCGCTTCTCTTTCCAGCTTTATACATTGAGAGTACAATCCAAAGATTTATCATGGTTTTACTTTGTGTTTATTCTGTTAGTAGCAAGTTTGAATATAGTTTATACTTTAATTTGCCTTTGTTTTTGGTTTTTTTGAGACAGAGTCTCAGTGTGTAGTTCAGGCTAGCCTTGAACTCACTAGGTAGCCCAGGCTGGTCTCAAACTCACAGTGATCCTCCTGCCTTAGGCTCCCAAGTGCTGGGATTATAGGCATGTGCCACCACACCTGGCTCATTTACCATTTGTATGTTTCTTCCTTTGCCAGTTTCCTATTCATATTGTTTTCCCATTTTTCCATTAGGTTGTTTATTTTATATCTGTTTCTAAAACTTTCTTAGAACCAAGATACTATCTCTTTATTATATTTTTTATAGATGTTTTTCCTTAATAATCTTTTTTAAATGTATAGTTACAGGGATTTTAGAACAGTAGAGGAAGATTTTTACATGTGATTATAAAAATATAGAAAGCCTGACTGACTTGTCTTTTCATATGGACCCTTAGATAAAAATGTTCTCTCCACTTTCCTTTTTAAACTATTAAAACACTAAAGAAAAGAAAATAGACCTCTTCAAAGTGAAAACCTTGTAAGGTATTTTGGGGGCAGAAGGGAGAGAGATCTCACTGTGTAACAGTCCAGGTTGGCTTTAAACTCACTTTGTAGCTTAGGCTGGCCTTAAACTTACAGTCATCCTCCTGTCTCAGCGTCCCAAGTGTTGGGATTATAGGTGTGTGCCACCATACTTGGCTTAGGTTATTTTTAACCTAGTGGGAGAAAATAGAGAAATATTTGTACTCCTGAGAGTGCTATTATGATGACAGATACTAACCTGAGGAAATGTGAATATCAGACTAATTATAGGTACTTGTTTTGAACATTTGGCCAGTGTTTTCTCTTTTGTAATCTGAAATGTATTTTTCCACCTAAGATGTTAAATTTTAATTATGTGGTTGCTGTTTCTTAGGCTGTCAGATACAACTGCATTAGAATAGAGAAACAACCAGTATACAACGTAGAGGTAAGGGCTTGGAGCGAGGTGACAGGAGGGGGAGGTTTGTCTTTTGTTACTTTTATTTTGATTTAAGGCAGTGTGTTACCTGCAAAACAAAGCTGCTGTCAAATATCAAATGTAGTTTTTCTAATGTGAAATGAAAAAGAAAAATACTGTTCTGTCAAAGCTCAAAGACATTTTTTTCATACAGTTGTAAAAAGTTATCTTTAGGATGAAAAGCTGACCTTGTACTTATGACAGATGAAATATATATTTTATAACTTTGATAATTACTAAGTTCAGATTAAATTTCATGTGTGTGTGTGTGTGTGTGTGTGAGAGAGAGAGAGAGAGAGAGAGAGAGAGAAGAGAGGGTCTCTATATTAGTCAGGCTGTCCTCCAACCCATGATTTATGCAATCCTCTTTCCTCACCCTCCCCTGTACCTGGCAGTGCAGCATGTCTCACTATATCCAGCTTCAGATTAAATTTTTAACATATTTCCAAAGTATATTATTTTCTTTATAGCCATATTCATTCCTTAAAATCGGTTCCATATAGTCTGCCTCAGAATACTTGTGACTCTCAACTTATTCAAAGTACTTCCTTGTATTGCTAAAGTTGTTTTGACAAAGAGGGCACTGTATCTTGTGAACTAGTTAGAGTTATATTAATGAATACCCTTAGAATGATCTTCTGATTCTCTAAAAATGGTCATTTCTGCAAATACTGCGCTTGATGTCTTAGTATCTAAGTTTGCACCTAAAGAAATGTAGCTGTACCTGTCAAGTCTCCTCATTGATCAACCAAACACTGTGTATTCCTTTTAAAGGTTTTCTTTTATGGGTAGTCTGTCCCCTTATTTTTTAAGGCAACAGAAAATAAATGTAACAGAATTTTGCCTTGCCTTCTAGTTGTACAACACAGTCACGCCCCTCATCCTCTTTAAACTACAAAACTCTGTCAGGGAGTGCGGGCCAGAAGTGTCTTCAAGATTTGATCCCCACATTTCACCTTTTGAGTCAGAATCTTTTTCCTTAGGTTAAAAATGCTGACTTTCCCAGAGGAATATTAAATTTAATTGAAAGCCTCATAGAAGGACAGTTTTTTAAAGAAGCAATGGAAGAGCTTTCCTCGTTGCAAGCGCATTATGTCCCTCCCGTGTGCCTTCTTCATTCTCTTCTGGACAGCGTCCTACAGGTGAGAGCAGACTTACCAGACAGTCTTTCTCAAAGAAGGCCAAAATGCGACTGTTTTCTTTATGTTTATAGTTTATTTTCTCTTTTCCCCCGTTTTTTAAGTTAGGAAATGTAGGATCCATGTGCTACAACTTTTTTTAACTATATCTTGGTACTACCATGAGCATTTTTAAGGTAATTTTCACATGGGAAGAAAACTTACTGATTTTTCCCATGACAGTAACATTTTTAACATAAAAATCAGATTACAATGATCTAGCATGCCACTGGGTAAATTACTCCTTTAGTACATTGATAGTATTCATTTTTATTTGTGAAGTAGATGGTGAACCTACTTCCTCGTAAAACATTAGGAGCAGCTAATAAAAGGTAGCTTTGTAATTGTGTTCTTCATCAAGTGCTGATTTGAAAAATTAACACGCATATGCTCTGTCGACTAATGGTGAGAAGTGTGAGTGTTGCGTGACAAGTTCTCACTGTGCCTCCTTTTTGTGTTGACATTTGGAACTATAATCATGAAAAGAAAAACATTTCACATAAGTTAGTCCTAATAGCTGCCATTATTTAATATGTAGCCTGTCTTTTTGTTTCACTGTTTTATTAGCTAATTATGACACTATCATCTGATCTCCTTTGTCCAAATTTTTATATTTACCAAAAAAGCTAGGTGAGAGTTATTCTAGGTATAGACTGAATTAGCTGGTGATACTACTTTTAGCAAGTTTCATTTGTTTATTTCCAAATGATAGGATAAAATAGATACATTTTCTGGGCGATACTTTGATATATTGTCAGCTCTTCTTCGTCTGCATCCTCCTTGGAAATCTCCAACCATGTCAAGATACTACTTAGAGTTGTTTCAGTGTCCAACTTGTATGAAAGGACCCTGGTCTCTGGTTGAAGCACTTATCAGGTAAGGAATTTCACATGTGAGGGTGCTAAATTTTGTCTTGTTTTTTTTTTTTTTGTCTTGTCTTTTTTTTAACTCTATTTTGGTACTAATTGTTTCCGTCTTTTTTTAAAAATTGTATCTTGGTACTATTTGTTTCTCTTTTGCTTGAGATAGTCTCACTGTGTGTCCCAGGCTGGTCTCAAACTTGTAAACTTAAATAATCCTCTTGCTTCAGCCTTCTGAGTACCTGGGACTACAAATGTGCACCAACACACCTGGCGCGCCTGTTTACATTTTTAGATCCTAATGAAAGAAGTGTATTTCTTGTTTTTAGAAAGATCATGTATGTGGTATTTTTGTATGTTGCATTTACTGCAAAACTCCTTTAAAAAGGACAAGTTTACACTTACAGTTTTTGGTCATTCAAAATATAAATACTTATAAGTAAATACAATTTCTATTTCAAGGTTTTTGCTATATTTTTTCATCTATAAATTTGAATTCTGAAGCAAGACTTAGTGTTCCCCAAGTAAGTCATCTCCAGACTCAGCACAAGATGTCATCTGCCTACACCTTCCTTTGTCTTCCAAACATTGCTGTCTCCAAAGTTCCTGCCTATTCTCTTCGTTCTCTCCTATTCTTCTACTTACTTATTTTCTCATTTCTACTCATGTATTTGATAACCCTCTTTGGCCCAGTAAGATCTTTGTTTTTACCCAAGTGTTCAGTTTTAAGAGGTCCAAAGTAATGAGACTGAAAGTGCACTTGATAGGCAGGCGAAGGTTAGCTCTTTGAGATCATAAGGATTCACCTACCACCTTCATTAGGATATGTTTGAAGTGAGCTAATCAGTGGTCTAGCATGAATTTATTCCCTCAGTAAGTATTTATTGAGTACATAAGGGAACCCAAACACTGTTCCACTTTAGGGTTCAAACTATAAATAAAAATAGTCTCTGCACTTTAAAGGTGATTGAGATATAAACAAAGCACCAGCACAGCAGTACTAGCCCAGGTTAGATAGAGGATAGGAGAAAATTAGTTCATATGTTCTTAATTTCCACATCCTCTCCTTTCTTCACTGCCATTGCCTCTATTTAAAAGCCTGTATTACTCCTCATGTAAACTGTTACAGTAGCTGTTCTCTTAAAAGATGCTCAGTCTTTCACATCTCCGTTCTCAGTATCTCGACGATACCTAGAACACAGTATAGGTATCTAGGAAAGGTTTGGATGAATTAACCGATGCTACAGGAGATGGGATTTGGACAGCTTTCTGTTATAAAGGAGAAATATCTCGGTTTTGTTTCCAAATACTGTGTTTATTGGAGGCTGGCAAGGGGAGCGTATCAAAGGAAGTGAGTCTAAATGAGATGAGCAATATTAGGCTGTACTGCTGTCTATATTTGAAATATTCCATAATACATTGCTTAAAAAAGAGAAAAGAAACTGTTACCTGTCGCTAGTGATAGACAGCCTGAATAACTCTGCGGAGGGAGATGTTATAGAGATAATTCAAGCATAAAGAAAATTGTTACATGTAATAGCTACTAAAGATTGGCCTGAGAATGTGGCATTCAGAAACAAGCACAGACCCATTACTGATGTAATGCATAAGAAAGCTGGCAGATAGTAATACATATCGTCACTTCAGTTCTCTCAAGTCGTAGAGTTTATTAGTATTAAGTTCTCTTTTAAAATACGTGTAGAACTGTCCCCGCCCAGTAGCCATTAATGACATATTACTATTTAAATTTAATTAAATTCAATAATTAAAATGTAGGTCCTCATGTACAAAGGCCACACTTCAGGTGTCTACTAAGAGGTACTTATGGTCAGAGAAAGTTCTGTTGGACAGTTTTATGTGGAAGATAGAGAACAAAATTCCAAGTTCGTAAAACTCTGAAATTGGTGTCCTGTATAGCTTTCATTTAGTAAATAATGAAAAACAAAATAATCATATGTAAGAAACAGAAGGATTTAAGCAGGTATTATAAACTGAGGGAACAACTGGTCATTTGGAGCAAAAGGACTTAACATTTGTAAGTCTTTGTTCTAATCAGTGTAATAAAAGATACAAAGGGAGAGTCCTGATTGTTGTTAAATATCATTGAAAAACAGAGAAATTAGATCTGTATTACTAAGAATTACGTTGCTATATAATATTCAATATGGTTTAATTTTTAAAGGAAGAAAAATGTTTATTATTGAACTTGCCTTAGTTGAAAAGCTCATGAGAAGCTCATTTTGTTGAAAAGCTCATTAACAATATTCTTTAAAAAAGAATTTTTTGTTTACAAATTACTTGATGATTTTCCTTGTTTGTTGGCTTCATATTTTGCAGGTCGTGTCTTTTTAATGAAAATTTTTGTCATGAAATTTCACAAAACATTGACTCTAAGGTATTCCACCTTACATTGCTCAAATTTTTCTTCAGTTTGGTTGAAAGTGAAGTCCAACATTTGAGTCAAAAGTAAGTTTTAATTGCAAGAAATATACTTCCCTATCTGTTGTATGTATGTACCATTTTTATAATTATTTGTGTATATATTTCTAAAAAATCATAAGATTTGCTTTTGCTTTAAACTTGCATAGATTGCTTGTGTGCATTATTGATTTTCTTAGTTAAACCCATTTTATATTTTGTCCTTTCTTGCAATCTTTATTTTGACCTCTATTCAGAAATTGCTGGGTTGTATTTTTTTTTTTTTTTATAAAAGATATATGTGATAACTGTCCTCACCAAATTGAGCATAAAGATTTATTATTTGTTCATTGTTCATATTTTCATTAGGTTGTATGACTGTTCAGAGTCTCAGAGTCTGAAAACAACAGGAAAGGCAATTCTCCTTGAAATCTTTTGGTCAGGAAATGAAACTTCTGGGCTTTTGACCAAACCAGTAAATATGCTTTTAGAATGGACTATGTATTCTTACAAGGAAAAATGCAAATCCAATGACGTAAGTAAGATTAATTTACAAGTGAATATGTCTTTGAAAAATTGCAGTTAGTCATCTTTATCTGTATGTTCCAAATCTATGAATTTAACTAAACATAGATCAGAAATTGTTGGAAAAGTTGCAACATGGTACTGAACTGTTGATACTGAACATGTTCAGAATTCTTTTTCTTGTTCGTAGTCCATAAGTACAGTACCACAACTGTTTACATAGTGCTTAGATTGTATTAGGTGTTACAGGTAAGCTAGAGAGGATGTGTGTAATTTATCTTCAGTACTGTGCCATTTTATGTAAAAGACTTGAGCATCCACTGCTTTTAATAGGTGTACATTTTGGTGTATGAAGTGACTCCAGGAACCAATCCGTTCAAAGGGATGACTTTGAATTACTTGAATTTTTCCTCTTACTTTGTTGTTTGTGTTACTTGAAAAAGTTAGAATGGACCCAAATGTATCATTGTTTTTTTATTTAGTTTACACAGTTTTAAAGTGAAAGGGCTTTAGAGGGCCATTGCTTCTCTTATTTCGTGGTAGCAGCTAGGAACATTTATCTGATTATTACTGCTGTGAAATCTACAGTTATATACCATTCTAAATGCTTTACTTTTATACATTTCAATTTATAAGGGACTATGTTAAAAAAAAACAACTACCTTTCTGTATGTTACTTCCTGGAATAGTTCTTTCTAAGTAGGTTTTGCCTGTCATTAGAAATTGAACACACAGTGATTGTGTATGTGTGGTATAATTTGGAAAAATTTTGTATATTTTTATTGGTTTATTTTTGCAATACATAGCAATCTTGCTGTTGTTCCCTATGCTACTGAAGTCCTATTCTGCAAATCTTTCTGTACCTGTCACTTCAGGTGTTCCCTCTGTGTTTTCTTCTAGAAGTCTGTACCTTTCAAATTTTATACCTAGGTCTTTGACCCATTTTGAATTGATTATTATATGAGGTGAGAAAGAGGGATCGACTGTGAATCTTCTATGTGTGGATATCGTTTCTCCACCATCATTTGTAAAAGGGGTCTTCTTTACTCCAGTGTATGGTTTTGGCCCCTTTGTCAAAACTCAACTGGCTATAGTTGTGTGCATTGATTTCTTGCCCACTTTATTCCATTGACCTCCATTTCTCTTGTCTGCAAGTACTATACTGTTTATATTACTATGGCTTTGTGGTATATTTTGAAATTGGGTGTTACTGATACCTCTAGAATTGCTATTTTTGCTCAGAGTTGCTTTTAGGCTACTCTGGGTTTTTATAATGCGTATGGATTTTACAGTTGTATTTTCTGGTTCTGTGAAGAATGTCACTGGTATTTTGATGGAGATTGCATTGAATCTGTAGATTGCTTGTAGTAATATGGCCCTTTTAAAAACTTGGATTCTATCATTTCATGAACAATATGGTCTTTCCAATTTTTAGTGTCTTCTTCAATTTCCTTCTCCACTGTACTGTAATTTCCATTGTAGAAGAGTTTGGTTTTGTTGTTTTTGAAGCTGTGGTGAATGGACTTATTTTTGTAATTTTTTTTTTTTTTCTCACTTACTTCATTATTGGTGCACACAGAAAAGCTATTTCATTTTTTCCATTAGTGAATGTGTTGTGTTTATTTTGTGGAATCAGGACATGCATATAGCATATCTTGCTCACTTTCAATCTCTATACCCTACTCCTCCCACCCCAAACGTGATCCTGTTCTGCATCTTCCAGAGGCTTCCTCTTACTTTCCTGTCATTCCTTGTCTGGTTTCTTGTGTAAGGCAAAGCAAGCAGTATTTGACTTTCTGAATCTGGCTCATTTCACTTAACATGATAGTCTGTCCCCTACCCATTTTCCTCAGACTGGCATGCTTTCATTCTTTATGGCTCTGTAATATACCCTTGTACATAGGCACTACATTTTCTTCCCATGTGTCACTTGCCAGGCATTTGTATGGTTTTCACAGCATATATGCTGTGAGTTGCACCACTATAAACATGGGTGTGCACATATTGCTATAATGTCCTGTTTTTAGTACTAAGGAAAGGTGTAGCTGTTTATACAGTCTTCATACTTTTATTTTCTTGAGACCCCTTCACACTGATTTCCAGAGCCATTGTTCTATTGTGCATTCCCACCAGCGATATAGGAGTTTTGCCCTGCATCCTCACCAGCATTCGTTGTGTTTTATTTTCTTGATGACAGCCATTCTAGCTAGGGTGAGATGGACTTTCAGTATAGTTTTGGTTTGCATTTTCCTCATGACTAAAGATATAGAACATTTTTTCATATTTTTTTGGACTCCTGATACTTTTTCTTTTGAGAAGTATGTACTAGTTACCCATTTTTGGATGATTTTGTTTTGAGGGGTAATTTTTTCTTTATTCTTGATACTAAATTTCTGTGAAAACAATTACCTAGGGAGATGTTTTACCCCTTCGGTAGGTTGTCTCTATACTCTCATTGTTTCCTTTGCTGTTCCGAAGCTATTTGATTTGATGTAATCTCATTTGTTTTCTTGATACTAATTTTGATGGTATTGGTGTCCTACTCAGGAAGTCTTGACCTGTCCATATATTTCCCCTGTGTTACCATCTAGTAGTTTCAGTGTTTGTGGCTTTATATCTAGGTCTTTGTTCTATTTTGATTTGCTTTTATTTAGTACAGAGTGATAGGGATTTAGGTTCAATTTTCTGCAAATGGATGATTGTCTGCTTTTCCCAGTACCATTTGTTTAAGAGGCTTTTTTTTCTCCAAAATATGTTTTGGCCACTTTGTCAAAAATCAGATATCTGTAAGCACATGGGTTGGTATCTGTGTCTTGTATTCCATTGATCTACCCGTCTGTTTTTGTGACAGTATTATGCTGTTTTTATTACTATGGCTTTGTGGTGCAATTTGAAAGCCAGTATTATGATGCCTCCAGTATTGCTTTTTGTTCAGAATTGCTTTGATTATTTTATGATTCCATATGAATTTTAGAATCTTTTTTCTGGGTTTGTAAAGAATATTGTTGGTATTTTAATAGAAATTACCTTTAATCTGTAGATCACTTTTGGTATTATGACCATTTTAGTAATATTAGTTCTGCCAATCCATGAAAAAAGGAGGTGTTTCATTTTTTAATGTTTTCTTCAATTTCTACAGTGTTCAGTAATTTTCATTATGGCCATCTTTCTTTGGTTTGGTTGATCCTCAGGTATTTAAATCTTTCAAAGTTATTGTAAATGCAGTTACCTCCTGATTTCTTTCTCAGTGGACTCATAATTGATGTACAGGAATGTTGTTGCTTTGCTTGTTGATTTTGTGTCCTGCAGCTTTACTGAACTTATTTATCAGATCCAAAAGTTTTCTGATGGAGTTTTTTGAGGGCCTTCTATATAAAGAATCACACTGTCTGCAAATGGCTATCATTGAAATTCTTACTTTACTCCTTGAATCCCTTTTATTTCTTTTTCTTGCCTGATTGCTGTGGCTAAACTTTCAAGCATTACATTGTACAGGCAAGAGTGGTCAGACTGGCCACCCTTGTCTTACTCTTGTTTTTTGTATTCAATATGTTGGTTGTGTTTTTGTCATATCTGGTTTTTATCAGTTTGAGATAAGGTCTTTCTAAACCTATTTTCTTTAGAGTTTTTATTATGAAGGTATTTGAGATTTAGCTTTTCCTGCATCAGTTGAGGTAGTCAGGTGATTTTTATCCTTGATTCTATGTATGTGGTATATTACATTTGTTAATGTGATTAATGTGTTGAACCATCCTTGCATCCCTGGGATAAAACCAACTAGCACATGATGAATGATCTTTTTAATATATTGTTGAATCCTGTTTGCAAGGATATCATTGAGGATATTTGCATTTATGTTTATCAAGGATATTTGTCTATTTTTTTTGTTGAGTCCTTATCTTGATTTGTTATCAGAGTAATACAAGTTCACAGAATGAATTTAGAACCGTTTCTTTTCTTTCAATTACATGAAAAAAGTTTGAGGAGTAGTTATGTTAGTCTGGTAAATTCAGTAGTAAAATCATTGGGTCCTGGCCTTTTCTTGGCTGGTAGAGTTTGTATTTCTGTATCAGTTTCGTTGCTCATTGATGGCCGTATTTCAGTTCTTTATATATTCCTGGTTCAAGTTTAGTAGGTCATATACGTTAGGATTAATCCATTCTGGAACTTCCCCATTTATTGGAATATATATTTTCAAAATAATTTCTGATAATCTTTTGGATTTCAATGGTGTCTTTTCACTTCTGTTTTTACTGAAGTATACCTTCTCTCTCTTTGTTTTGGTGAGTTTGGCTAAAGGTTTACCAATCTTGATTGTATGTTTGATTTATTGATCATTTTTATTGTTTCTCTCATCTCAATTTTATTAATTTCCACTCTCATCTTTATTGTTTCTTTTCTTCTACTGGTTTTGGGTTTTGTTCTTGTTTTTTTAGAAACTTAAGATGTATCATTGGGTTATTTATTTGGGATTGCTTTGTTGTGCCCCACAGATTCTCTTGTATTTCCATTATCGTTTCATTATTCAAATTTTTAAATTTATTTTCCGATTTCTTCCTTGACCGTTATTATTCAATCTTCCATGTGTTTGTGTAGTACCTGTGATTTCTGTTATTGATTTCTAGTTTTATTCCATTGTGATCTGATAGGATATATGAATTTATTTCACTGATTTTGTATTTGTTGAGACTTACTTTTGTCTTTCAACATGGCCTTTTTGTTGACAGTTCTGTAGGCTGCTGAAAAGAATGTGCATTCTATTGTTGGATGAAACACTGAAGTACCTGTTGAATCCATTTGATCTATATTGCAGTGTAACCCTGATGTTCTTTGTTGATTTTTTTTTTTTTTTTTCTGCTTCATCCATTGTGAGATGTGCTCTGTGATTGTATTGGTGTCTATCTGTCTTTTATATCTTATATTGCTTGGGTTTGGGTTTCTAGTGTTTAGTGCCTATATATTTGTAATTGTTTCCTCTAGATGAATTATACCCTTTGCTAAGTGACCTTC